GTCCTCTCGGAAGCGCTGTTTCGACAGCACATCAATCATAACCGCCTTCTCTGCCAAACCTTTCCTTAAGAGTTGGCCACAAATGATCGCTCCGTCCGTCGATCCCAACACATCGTAACCACCATTTGGTTCGAGTCTTGCCATCAAATCCGTGAAGTATTTCATCACTTTCTTCAAAGTCGACAATTGGTTCACATGTGGAGTCCAATTGAGTCCAACGACCGGTCGGTTAATATTTTGGACCAAATGGTCATACAATGCAAACCCCATCTCCAGAGTCGGCATTAAATACAATGGCTTTCCGTTTGAGACACCGTTGAGTCTGACGTGTGTTTCCACAGGAATCACAAACCTATACCTCGAGAGTGATATTTGAGCGCTTTTTATACCATTGAAATAGGCTTTAATGGTGTGATCGCCTCCGGACTCAAACTCACAAAGAAGTCCGACAGACATGTCTTTAATGAGCTTTAGTTTAATGGTTTGATTACAGAGTTTTGCAAATTCTTGCAGTAATTCTGAGGCAAATATGGACTCAATTCCGATCTCTCCTAAAGTCATGTCCGCCGGAGTGGCCGACGGGTCGATACCCAGAGATCCCCACAACTTATTAATGAATGACTTCGAGCCCTCTTTGGCCTCAGAGTCCAACTTTAACATTGAGTTCTCAACGGTTTTCACCTGTTTTTTAAACAATAAAATTACCGTTAAATGTGATAACTCTGTTAATACCGTATTTGGAAATGATATGATAATTTAGCTTATGCTGGTAACCTGATGTTGGTTATCACATATTTGCATGTATTTATTAATGAGCACTTTTAAACATTGTTATGTTTAACTTATGATTTGTTTAAAATGTAAAATTTGAATTAATTTATGCATACCTTTACGGTTACGACCGGGTATTCAACGGCCAATAGTTTGTCCAATACTTCACAACACGAATGGATCCGTTGTTTCTGATTTGTCAAGAATGCGAACACTTGTGTTATCTCATGCATAGCCCCGACGTCACCGATAGGACCAAACTGTATGGCCAGACCCGACAGGCCGTCCCTCTGTCTCTGTTCGCAAATACGCTCACAAATAGAGTTACCGTAAGTATAGTTCAGTTGTCCTTCACTTCCCGTTCCCGAAGAAATGGACGAAAAGACCACAAAATGGTCTAAATTATAGTCCAATTGACGGCTCAATTGATCCAAATTCTTGAATATCTTCTCCTTTATGTCAACGGTTTTCATGAATGTCTCGAAAGACACTTCACTGAAGAGACAATTGTTTAACTCGAGGGCCAAATGAAAGACACCACCGATGGGTGCGCCCAACCCTTTGCACTCATCCAACAGTTGTTTTGTGCCCTCAATAGTGAAACAGTCGGCCGAAGAGACTATCACTTGATTTTGGAAATAGTTATGTCTTTTCCCGAAAGCTATCAAACGATTGACAATATATTTCTGGTAATCATTTTTAACGCCCGAACGGGAGGTCAACACCAATCTCTTCGCCCCGTTATATACCATCCATTGACACAACTCTAACCCAAAGCCACCCAAACCTCCAGTTATTATATAAGTCTTGTTGGGATTGAAGTAAGTCTTTGTGCTAACAATCATACTATCGGCCGGTTTTATGCATTTCCACGGCTTTCGGTTCGCCTCCTCTTCACGAATACGGATAACTATTTTCCCGATATGTTTACCGGTAGTCATGTATCGGAAGGCCTTCTCGGCGTCTGCGGCCGCAAATACCGTCCGATTCAACGGTTTTACGCAACCATTGGTGCAGTTGTGGTGAACCCACGTATAAAACGCGTCAAACATGTACTCCCGAGTCATAACACTCTCGTCCAGCGAAACACCTATAATACACAAATCCCTCAATAGGTTATACATCGGAAGCTTTTTATTCTGAAACAAATCCATTTTTCCCAACTCCACAAACCGTCCGCCTGTGCCCACACACTCATAGCCGGCGTCCAACTTATCGCCGGCCAAAGAGTTGAGCACCAGATCCACACCCCGTCCAGCGGTCGCTCGCATTACTTGACTCTTGAATTGAGTACTTCTCGACGAGAATATCTTATTCGCCGGTATTTTGTATGTATTTATGAGAAACTGTTTCTTCTCGTCGGTGCCGACCGTCGCGTATATATCGCAGCCGTAGTGTTGGCACACATTAATGGCCGCCTGACCCACACCTCCCGCCGCCGAATGGATTAATACACTCTCACCTGTGGTTTACAACAAATAGTTATTTACTAATACATATTACTTATTGCAAATACACTCAAACCTCGTCTCAGATGTGCCCTCTCTATCAAACCATACCATACCGTGAAATACGGGCTCAAAATAGTGACCGCCTCTTCCATAGACCAGTTGTCGGGTATTGTTGTAAAGAAAGACGGGTCCACATGAGTACTGGTGGCCACACATTTGCTTAGACTCATAGCCATAACCCGTTCCCCGGTATCGGCCCGACGGCCGGCCAACTCGTAACCAATTTGCTGCTCATATAGTTCTGAAAGCGCCGGTACTTTGCCTTCAAATCATTGCAAACTTTGTAATATAACTTAAACGATATATGGTTTACATGTTTGTTAAATACCGGTCACTACGAGTACGTCCCTAAAGATTATGGCCGAACAGTAGGTCTCGATTTTGACCGATTGTCTCTTCTTATTGGTCACGTCGTAGTAGTGGTCAGTCGTGGAAAGGGTTGTGATGTCTCTCCACTCGAGTGACGACAAGTCCCGACCCTTTCCTAAACCCAAGTAATACTCATTTGATTGGATTTTATCGAAATCTTTGCCAAAACTCTGGTATCGATAGGAACCGAGTCTTCCATCTCTGATCACATTTGACACCAAATCGTTGGCCAATATANTGATTGGATTTTATCGAAATCTTTGCCAAAACTCTGGTATCGATAGGAACCGAGTCTTCCATCTCTGATCACATTTGACACCAAATCGTTGGCCAATATATCGCTGAATGGCTTTGTATTGAAGTCTATGTCTGTATTTGTGGTGTTGTTATCGTAAATGAAAATATATCTGAAGTATTTTCCTCCCGGTTCCAGACGTAGACTCTTTGATAAACCCATTACTCCGTTAATACACGAGTCGTTGGCAATGAGCCAAACCCGGGTACTGTCGGCACCCGATTCACTGGCCATCAGTAGTCTGTCCTTCAATACTGGGAACCATTGCTCGCATTTGTCGTTAAATTGGATAACATTTTGTTTGTCCGGAAGTATCGGTTCCGAGACTTTCCTGAAGAGCACAGCCTTTGAACCAATTGTATCGCATTTACTGCATATCACTCTTAATCCCATTTCATTGCCATAAGTGATGAACTCATTGATCCGTTTCTCAAGATCTGAATCCGTGACTGAATTACCAAACAATGAATTCAATGCGATCTCCGGTTCCGTCACTTTATATCGAAATACTGTTAATAGAAAGCCATTGCTTTCGATGGCGTCCGACAAGTCTTGGATCAAGTCTTGTAAATCCAATTCCCATAAATGGTGTGAATATCTTAAGACAATTAAATGGTTTAGTTTAAGGACTAAACTTTCTTTAATATCCCATTCAAGAGCATTAGGTTTGAGATAATCGGGTATTAATTGTTGGGTTTTAACAATTAGTTTGTAATTGACGTCAGGCTTAATAAATTGTGAATAAACCAGAGTTTGTTTGATATTTGCCATCAATTCGTTTGTGAGATTAATTTCCGTCACTTTCATCTGTTTTACGGGAAAAATATTTTCGCTGATTATCTCAATCATTGGTCGGATTAAGCGCTCATTTTTTGTCACAAGATTTACTAAATCATGGCTTAAATCGTATTCAGGATTGGATTGTATTTCATTGAATAACTTTTTAAGCATTAATTTATCGTTTGGTTTAATGTTTTGTTTAGCAATCGTTTCGTGTATTTTATCCAAAACTTTAAACATAACGTTATTATCAATGTTTGCATTTCTATGGCTTTGAATCACTTCTTCGTTAATATTCTTGTAATCAAAATCACATTTGATTTCATTGAAACCCATTTCACGTATTTTCGCAGCAATTGCTTTGCAAACCTATTTTGCAAAGAAATATTATTTTAGAGAGAGAGAGAGAGAGAGAGAGAGAGAGAGAGAGAGAGAGAGAGAGA